ATAATATATATATATATATATAATCAGGAGATAATATATGTGGAATGATGGAAAAAGACAGAAGGGACATAAACGAATGACATCTAAAAGCTGCTTTCTCTCTCTCGTTTTACGCAGCTGGCGGGAATGGCTCTGCTAGGGCTAGCTCTCTGGTTGAGATTCAATCCACAGACGGACCAGTACACGGCGATAGACGAGCAGCTATCGGCGAGATACTACACCGCCAGCTACATACTGATGGCAGCAGGTACGTACGTAACCCACACCGCCCCGCGTGACAAACACTCACCCATCCCTATCACCCCCCCCCCTCCCGCGGAACGCCGTATGAATCCATATGAAAAGAAAGCGTGCCCCCTGGCCAACCTTCGTCAACAAGCAAGGTGTGCACGCGCGTGCGCGCGGGTAAACGACACCTGATGGGCCGTCCTACGACGACCGTGCTGCCACCGTGCGGGGTGTGTGGGCAAGGGCCCCTCTCTCGCGGAGCAACATCCCCCGCGTGCAGCAGGAACGCACGTACACGTGCCACATCGCAGCAAGGTGTGCTGATGCCGAAATAATGCAGGTCGTTCGCTTCGCCACGTCGTTCCTGCTTCGTCGCAACCACTGCCAAGGACGAACGGCTTATATAGAGAACAGATAGAGAACCCACAAGTCGTGGATGCGTACTGTGGGCTTACACGATATCTGCCATTTCTTGACGAATATGCGAGGCAAACTAAATTATAATAGGCTGCAAATAAAGTTTATCTCAGTTAGATCAAAAATAAGTTATAAATACTTACATTGACGGAATTTTCGTCCATCTTGTCGGTGTAAGTATTTATAACTTATTTTTGATCTAACTGAGATAAACTTTATATGCTTGTGAACTATAGAGATCCGATGAAATTATTCACTTATATAATAATTAATAATTATTAATTAATAATAATAATTATTCGCTGTATTGGGATAATTATCACTTCCCTGCGCCCCGCTTTGACAAAATCCTAAACGTCTTGAGTTATACTAGAGACTACGACGCATACTCGCGCACACACACGCACACGCACATGTACGCACGCACGCACGCACGCGCACGCGCACGCGCACACGCACACGTCGAGGTGCGCGCCCACGCACATGTCTGTCTGTCCGTCTGTCTGTCTGTCTGTCTATCTCATCTTGTTTGCCTGTCACCCTTTTTCGCTAAGATCACCACTTTTAGCTCTCTCTCTCTCTTTCTCTCTCACTCACTCTCTCCCACTCTCACTCACTCACTCTCTCTCTCTCTCTCTCTCTCTCTCTCTATCTCTCTCTCTCTCTCTCTCTCTCTTTCTCTCTCACTCACTCACTCTCTCCCACTCTCACTCACTCACTCTCTCTTTCTCTCTCTCTCTCTCTCTGAGCCTCCCTCGCTATTTAATGCATTTGAGATACGTGCCATCTATTGGCGAATTTAACAAGTAAACTTGTCATGTTGCGCCATTTACATCTCACACATGGCCGATGGTACGAAACTAATGATCAATGTCGCTTTACCGAAGACTCAAGTTCATTTACCTACCGATAGTTAAAATTCTTGGCTACGCTGCGTAATACTATGTAATCTTCTCTTGTTTACCAATGCGAAACGGTCGAGACATTGTGAGTTCAAGTGCTTTCCAAAATTATAATCTCCAATCGGTGTTTTCACTTCATCAATTTCCATTGTATTCATTCCATCCCTTCTATTGTATTATAATACCGAACGGCACGACTTGTATGACTATTGTGTGAACAGTGAGAGAAACACACGCGGGTGCACGCACGGGTTGGGGTCCGGGATGCGTACGGGTATAGCGGCGGTACACACGCACGCGCGCACATGGGCTGGAATACCTGGGGGCGTTGTCAGGCGCACATGCATGCGCACATGCATGCACATATCGACATAGAGACGTACAAGCACGCGCACATACTCACACATGCCAGTGTTGTAGATCTCGAGGCAGGTTTCTTTGGCCTCGGAGTGTAATGACTCGGACTCGGACTCGGACTCGAGCCCTCCGGACTCGAGGACTCGGATCGAGGCCGGCTCGAGAGTGATGTAGTATAAGTATGATGAGTATGATCATGAGTAATGACTAATGATGTAGTCGCTATTGCTAGCACGCTCCCTGCCAGCTAGCAGTGTTTACAATCACATAATATGCTTCTGAGTATAGATTTCAACATACTATATTTAACTACCACTGTGCGCTGATACCGTGTTTATTTTGTTTAAACTGTTTTAGCCATACATTGCGCTCGGCGAATTCATTTATTGGGATCTGCTGCGGAACTGTGTGGGAAATACCCTGCGCTACCATTCCCTTATCGCAACAAGCTGGTATGCTGCTGCAATGATTGCGCACAAACAAACCCAAATTTTAACCTGTATACGCGGCGCAATTGCAACTACTTTGTCCAGCCCTAAAGCAAAAAGATAGATATAACAGTTGTTATTGAATTCTATTCCGACACACATTCCGACGCACATACTGGGGCTGGGATACTTGGGGGCCATTGTCAGAAACATCGTAAATTATATTTAATGTTAATGTTAATGTTAATGTTGGCGAATGTCATAAATATGCAAAATATCCAGAACATTAGAACAAACATGAGGCACAGACACAGACACACACAGACACACACACACACACACACACACACACACACACACACACACACACACACACACACACAGCTCCAGTGCACATGCGGGTGAGACGCGGTTGGGAGTGGGAGGGTGGAGTTCAACCCCTCCACGGAAACGTCGCCTCGGCGACAACACGCAACACAATGACGATCACGTGACGTCGAACACGTCGGCGACGAATCAGCCGCGCATGAACGCGTGTGTCGACGACATACTATACTAACGCGCCCCTGGCGACGGAATTCTCCCCCACGATCCATCCTCCTCGGTCGCGGCCGCCTCCGCCGACGTAAACGATTAGTGACTACAATGCAGTCGGCGAGTGTCGTCGGGTTTTATCCACGCCGACATCGCGAGTCGACGGCGGACAAGGAGACTCCGTCAAGGCCGTGTCTAACTTTCTCTCTCTCTCTCTCTCTTTGCGTACACACAGGCGGCGTGATGACAATGTTTGGTTTCCTTGGATGTTACGGAGCACTACGAGAGAGCCAATGCATACTAATCATGGTAATCGAGTTTGATATTAGGCGATCGATCGATAAATGTTTGTAACGGTGAAGTAGCGCCAGCGACGTTAGCTTCCGCTCTCGCTCGGATGTTGGCCGCTTGCCGACGCCTTTTTCTCGATATTGGTAAAGATTTCTTAGAATAACATTAATAACTGTAAGAAATTAGCAACCAACAGACAACTATGTCGATTTATTAATGCGGATATTATTCCGTACATCTTAAATCGCTTCGTCAGGTCGTTTAGAATGCGGTAAACGATACATAAAACGGGGTAAATGTATTGTTCATTACATTATAGCGTAAAACGTCGTTCTAACCCGTCTGTGTTCACATCGCTAGCGTGAATGCTTCACATCTGAAATCCTTAGGCGTATGAACTGACATCACCAACTGCATCCTCTCTATGTTTGATTCTGCTTACAGTTCTTCACTCTTCTGGTACTTCTGTTTGCTGCTGAAATCGGAGGAGGAATTTACGCCTATATGAACAAGGAAAAGGTGCCGTATATACACACCCCATCCACACACGCTCACAATCACACGAACACGCGCACGTACGTGTACACGCACGCACGAACACGCGCACGTGTACACACACGCACGAACAAGCGCCCGTACAACATTACCTGAGCAGCGATAAACCATGGACCAAGCGGATAAATTTCCCTTAAGACCGGCGTTTACGGTTAACATGGCAATAATATGTAAAAATCATGTGTAAATAATACCAGGGGCGTATGTCACGGCAAACGGGAACAAGCGGAAGCTTCCTGTCATTTATTATACGTTACTCAGATACTATGACTTAATATGTTACCCAATAAACTAACCCAAAGCATTTAATCTAACTCGTCCGTGGCATTTTTCCCATTATATATTCGCGATCCAGCGAGCTGGACTCAATTGTACGATAATCGGGTTATTATAATTATATTATTATATATAGAGGCCTTTCCAAATGATCAGCAATCGGTAGCGACACCTATCGCATCACATGGTAAACATGAGATTCGGCAGAAAATTCCGTATTACAGACACAGAGGGAGAACACATTCCGGGTTTGAGTGCTATCGTTGCGTTTTACCAGGGCTGATATACTATTCTCGTCCAGTGTTTCAAATATTTCTTTGCCGTAGATCGTGGCGGTTGAGGTTTCGATACAGTATTTGCTAGTTTGCTTGCTACTAGCAATTCATATGCTAGACGAGAGATGACAGCACTTCAGCACTGCTTAGCGGACAACGTTAATCGCGGTCATATATATAACACCTATATATATATATATATATATATATATATATATATATATATATACACACATATATATATAGCACACAGAACAACACGTGCGCACAACGCTCGCACACGCACGCACGACACGCACACACACACAACACACACAAACCAGCCACACACACACCACACCACACACACACGCAGCATACACACACACACAGCTGTCACACACACACACACAGGCAGCAGACACACACCATACACACACGCACACACACACACATCGTGCGCAGACGCCACACGCACGGTTAAGGTGCTCTTCTTGGCTTGTGGGGCCTTTGCCCTGGGCCGGACCGAGCACAGCCACGCAGCCACAACAACAGGAGCACACACAAACACACACACGACACACAACACACACAACACACGCCGCACATACACACACCACTCACACACACCACACACCACACACCACACGCACACACATACACACACAACACACACACATGACACAGGCACACACACATATATTATATATATATATATATTTGCTTATATATTGAGCTTATTTGCATTTATAAAGCATAAGTCATAAATAACGGGTTTTCAGAAATCCCTATACAGAAATCATTATTTATTAGAAATAATTAACATAACTGGAAAACACGGACGTAAGTGGTTTTGAAACTAAATAAAATAAACGTCCTCCTTAAATAACCTTTTAAACCAGTTTCCTTGGATTTATTAAATTTACTTCAACAATTTCGTCCTCACTATTCCCACTGTATTTGTTTTTATTATATGTATAATAATGATATATATATCTATATATATGATACTTATATACATATTGATATATATTATTATATATATTATACTAATATATAGTTATATAGTAGCGCACACAGCGATCTACATACTTGTGACGGGGGCGGGTGAATCGAGAGTCGGGGAAATGAGATTTCGGGAGCGAAATTCGTGGGATAGCCGTCGGGGGGGAGAAAAGTACCGAACCCGAAACCGCCGAAACACCGATACCGAACACGCGAGGTACATATAGAGAGTAAAGGTGGTGAACAACCGTCGATCGCGTCCAAAGCAGCAGGCCTTGAATAAGCATGCGAACAGATATTAATTAAAAATACTCAGCACTTTTACTGTCGCTAAAGCACAACATACACTTTATTCATGTTAAATAACTTACAGATTCATGCTCTATGCTCCGGCTCGAAACTTTTGCCAGGCTTCTATGATGCGAATTTCTACAAAAGTTGTTTGACACATTTCATACAACAATGGCAGACGCGCGACATGGCTACGCCACTACTGGAATGGCAGCAATTACACAACAAAGACCAATTTTACTTCTAATTGCTTTCTAGACGTCCCACGAGGCCATAGATGCAACTTATCTGCAAAATCTAAGTGCCGAATTTCAAGCGGAAAAAAATGCTAAAAAAGGCCATTCTCTAGAGACGAACAATAGGTGCAACGGTGAAACCAATTGGCGGATGGCTTACTGTTCCCAAAATGCCGTCCTCTAGGAGTGAGCAAAGAGTAGAAAGGAGAGAGAGAGAGAGAGAGTAGAGAGAGAGAGGGAGGGAAGAGAGGCGAGTGAGAAAGACAAGAGAGAGAGAGAGAGAGAGAGAGAGGAGAGAAGAGGGAGAAAAGAGAGAGAGAGGAGAGGAGAGAGAGAGAACGGAGAGTGAGAGAGAGAGAGAGAGAGAGAGAGACAGCCAGATGCCGACAGAGAGAGAGA